CCCCCCGGCTGTCTGGAGAGAGCAGTGAAGCAAAGACGACGGATGCCAGCGAAGAAGATAGCTGCCTCCTGGAATCCTCGCCAGCAGGAGCAGCGCAGGAACCCAGACTGGTGATCTGTACTCCCCCATTCCCTCTATCTCCCTCTTTTCCTTTTTTCTGTTAAGAAATGTAAAGCATATTATATTGCTTTGCCATAGCTTGCTCTGTACTTAGCCAGTTATCATGTGTTCAATTAGTGCATTGTAGGTAGTTAATAAATGCTTGAACTTGGAGACTTGTTGTCCGCTCCAATTGGGGATTTGCGAATCTGAGTCACTTGTCCCCCTCACTGGAGCGGGACGTGACAGTGGTCTTCAGTAAAAGGGACTTTTATGACACAGCTCTAGTATGTCACTGACTCTTCACAGCACTTGTCATTATAATACCTGAACTTCATATCTCCTGACACCTGGCTACCACATTGCATTTAAGATAAGTCAGATCAAAAACATTACTAGTTTGTTTTCAGGCCCCAGCGCTCCCCTCCTACTAACGAATGAACAATTTCCTGGGACACAGACTTTCTTGTCAGGCAATTCTGGGTACCCCTACAATGAGATTTTTATGAGTCTAGAAGAGCTTTCACTGTGGTATGGGAAAATATTCACAGGAAGTACTCAGAGCTGATCCCATCCATACATCTTCCTCCCCACACCCATGTGTATAGGAATAACCCACAGGACAATGAGAACCATGGTACATGGAAGCAAATCATCTTGTTACCCCTGACTTTCAAAGCGACTAGTGAGGAAGGAAGTAGTAGTGAATCATGAAGCTGAGGTCCACATCCTTCCAATTTTTTTCTCACAGCATGTGGCAGCAACACAAAATGCCTCAGTTCCCACAAAAGTGGAAAGGAAACTGCCTTTGTTTCCTGTCTGAACTTGGATTCTCACCCTTTCACTTTACCTTCTTTGGGTTTGGTTTTTGTATGAGGCCAAATATCTAACACAAATAGGAAAAAATTACTACACTGTCCATCCTCCAGAGCCTCGCTCTTCTCCCCATGGCACAAGATTTAGGTTTTGACAAGTAGAGAATATTCAAATATAAAGAGATACCTAAACTTAGTTTCACTTGTTTTGGGATCTTCCTTCCCACTTCCTAACTCCTGTGTTATAACCTGAACTTCTGCGAGGATTACCCCACTGTCTCACACCTACTCTCAATCAGAAAGCATCAACTTGTTAAAACCTACACATTCCTCAGTTACACATGCTCCCATTCCATGGATGCCTGAATTTCTGCAGTAAGAAAACATTATATTTCTTCCCAGATAGCCTAGCAGTTAAAGGCAGTCACTGCAGGCCAAGGATTGAATCTCATCTCAGTTACAAGCAAAGGACTTGAAGAACTGTCAAGTTTCTTTTTCTCACACTCTAATATTTTGAAAGAATTTGCAGTCGTTCTGATAGAGTGAGAAAAAAACGAAATAGGAACTGAAAAATTGCACAAGATGGAAAAGGAAATCCTAACCTAGCTCTGACTATAGGGCATGTCTCTTAAGACTTTTTCAGGCTGGCATACTTCAGTTCTCTGAATAGCAGATAAACAGATGAAGCTTTAAAATAATTTGGTTTAAAATGGCATCTCACCTACACATGAACTAGTTAAGATTCCTCTAGTTAAGTGAGGCAACTGCATACATCCCTAGACAGCCCTAAGAGCCAGGTATTTCAGAGGACCTGAAGAAGAGAGGTAGGGTAAACAAACAGATAAATCTACTCCCACCTCTCCCCAAAACATTCTTTAGAAGCAGGACAGATTATTTGATAGCATGGTCTATACATCCTGCAGTATATGGACACAGCTCTGCCTTTTCCACACTATTACCTGGACCGTCTCACCTCTTTTCTAACTGAGGATCACAACATTTTTTCAGCAGAAACTCATAGAATTTCTCCTGCAGTGCTGCTGCTATGCTCTTTACTTACAACAAAACAGAAATTAGATTGAACTTTGAATATTTATTACCCTCATTCCTCTGCTCCTCCAGGCTGTTTGCTTGCCTGCATGTGTGAAAACAGGTGCAGAAGGGAGTTGACTTGGTATCTTACAAACAGTTCACAGATCATGTTGTGCCATTTTAGGGACTGCTAGTGATCTGGAAACAACAGATTATGAAATACCAGTAGGGCAGACAGAACGAAGAGAGCAGAAAAGGAGTCAAGAAGGCTATTCAGATTCTGCTCCTCTTCTCTTGTCAATTGTATAAAACTAGATTATTACAACTGGAAGGCCCCACAGATTTTGTGGTTCTTCAGCCTCATTGATAGGGTACTACAAGCAGCATGTGAGGTACAAAGCAGTGGCAGTCACATGCTGTGGTTACACAGAAATCTTTCCTTGCTACTGAAAGAGAACTGTGGGCACGGAAGTCTGCAAAGCACTGCTCTAGAGTGCTCATACAAAACCAAACCCAATTAACCAGGACTGTTTACTACAACTACCAGCTGTATATGACACTCAACAGTCAAAATGCTTTTGTGCTGTTACCAACAGGTCTTTTCCCCAAAATAAACTCTGCAAACTACTATGGACATGCAAATTCCTAAATGCCCAAACTGGGGCCCTTGTTATTTTTTTCCCTGGACTACCTTGACAGACACACCATCCTTCACAAGGGCCTACTTTTTGTGCTGTAAGGCAACCTTCTTTATCATTTTAACCTCTATTAATGCATTGGAGTTGCTGCTCACATTTGCCAGAAGAAGAAGGAAAAGAAGGTAATGGCTTGGACAGGCGTACTCTTCGCTAAGTAAAAAGCTGGCTGGCTGGTCAGATACAAAGAGCTGTGAATGGAGTCAAATCCAGTTGGCAGCTGGTCACAAGTGGTATTCCCCAGGGCTCAGTATTGGAGCCAGTTTTGTTTAACACCTTTATCAATGATCTGGATGATGGAATCGAGTGCACCCTCAGTAAGTCTGCAGGCAACACCAAGTTGGGTGGAAGGACTGAGCTGCTTGAGGGTAGGAAGACTCTTCAGAGGGATGTGGACAGGCTGAATTAATGGCCCAAGGCCAATTGTAGGAGGTTCAACAAAACTTAAGTGTCAAGTCCTGCACTTGGGTCATAACAACACCATGCAGTGCTATGGGCCTGGGGAAGAATGGCTGGAAAGCTGCCTGGCAGAAAAAGACCTCGGGGAACAGCTGGCTGAACAGGAGTCAACAGTGTGCTCACGTGGCCAAGAAGGCCAATAGCATCCTGGCTTGCACCAGAAATAGTGTGGCCAGCAGAACTAGGGAAGTGATAATTTTCCTGCACTCAGCACTGGTGAGGCTGCATCTCAAATACTTTGTTCAGTTTTGGTTCCCTCACTAAAAAAAAGACATTGAGATGCTTGGAGAGTGTCCAAAGAAGGTCAACAAAGCTGGTGAAGGATCTAAAGCATAAGTCTTATAAGGAGCAGCTGAGGGAACTGGCTTTATTTAGCCCGGAGAAAAGGAGGCTCAGGGGAGACCTTATTGCTCTCTACAACTACCTGAAAGGAGGTTGCAGAGAGGTGGGTGTTGGCCTCTTTTCCCAGGTAACAAGTGATAGGACAAGAGGAAATGGCCTCAAGTTGCATGAGGGGAGGTTTAGATTGGATATTGGGAAAAGTTTCTTCACCAAAAGGGTTGCCAAGCACTGGAACAGGCTGCCCAGGGAAGTGTTTGAGTCACCATCCCTGCAGGTATTTAAAAGACATGTATGGCACTTAGATGATTTAGTGGTGGACTGGGCAGTGCTAGGTTTACTAGGTTAGGTTGGACTTGATGATATTAAGGGTCTTTTACAACCTCACTGACTCTATGATGCTTCTTGTTAACTCATAGGAGCAACACCAGTGCAAACATGGCATGAGACAACAGCCCAGCTCCTCTCATCACCTTATGCACAACCAGTACCTGAACAGATCTCCCTGCATCTAAGACTAAAAAGCACATGGAAAGCGTTTTCTTTTCCTGTCAAGAGTAGGATTTTGTTTTCCTGGAGAAATTCTGTATCTAATTTCACCCTCTCTGTGCTGCTTTTGCAAAGCCACCTGTGAAAGTCTCTCCTATGGACCACAAGATGCTTGTGACAATGGTAGCACTGTCCTGAAAATGAACATCTAGTACTGGAGTGAATTTGAAAAAAAAAGGCAGCATGTTTAATGCCACTGGCCTAAAAGACAGAAGTGCAAACAGTCCTGGCAGGGGAAGGCATGTCTATAACAAAGCTAAAGCATAAATTCGAATGCATTTATTTACCACTACTCCTTCCAAAAGGACTGCAGAGTACTCCAAGAATCACACATAAAAGGACTATTTATGCCACATGGATGCTGAGCACACTGGGTTCACCACATTTTGCAACACTATGGTGTACTGCCAACTAAAATTAGAGAGAAAATGAAGGAAGTGGAAAGCAACTACTTCAGAACAACAGAGTAAGCAACTCCAACTTGCAAAAATGCTATAGTTTCTTTTGCAACAAGTATAAGACTTTTCAGCTGATGATGGATCACTGTTTAGGTAGCACTGCAGGCTACAACAGCTAACCAGTGCAGCAGGACCTTGGGGAACGAATGCTACTTGCTGAAGCTCTAAGCACTTCCCTCCAAAAAACACAGATTTGCTTTGCAAAATGTCTGATACAAGTACATTAGCAACCAAAACCCAGAAGTCATACAGAGTTTAATGTTGCTGAAAGAAACAAAAATACCCATGTGAGGACACACAAGTCCACAAGGAATTAACTCTGATTTCAGAATAGAAGACTCCAATCCCGTCAATCCAATTTCACAGAGATCAAAAAGGAACTGCACAGGATTTTGAAAGACTGTAAAGCTTCCTTTCCAGGCTACTAATCTACATTTAAAGCAACAGTATAGAAAACTTCTTTTTAAAAAAAGTTAAAATTTTACAAAACACCTGTGCTACACAAGTGCCATTATCTCCTAGCTATTACATCTGAGCTATAAAATACAGCTACAGGATGGGCAAATTTAAGGCACCATGAGACATTTCAAATTTATTAACTTTCTGACTCTTGATTTAAACTGTCTTCAGGGAAGTTAATAAAAATGCACAAAGCCAGGCTGTTATCCTAGATTTATTTTTTCCAACACAGTTTCTGGAAAACCATGCCTACCATACAGTTTTTATCATATTAGTATTTTCTGGCCTAATAGTCTCTGATTTCAATGGGATAACAGCTAGATGATGGCAGTTTCTGATACCAGACCAGTAAGTTTTGCTTGGGCTGCAACATTTTTAAAATCAAAACTAGACTCTTAATTTTTTTTAATAAAAATTTTTTAAAATAAATAAGGCAGGAAAGGGCTTTCTTTAATAATTTGCTCCTATTACTGGTCACTTTCAGCACTAAAGAGGGATCCACTATGAAGTATGATGACTTTAATTTCCAGACATTGACCTTACAGAATTATCTCCAGTGTGTCGCTTCAGCCTCATCAATCCAAGCTTATAAACTTAAACGCTGTTAGCAAGGTCAAGGTTCAAAACATTAAGTGATAAGTTAATAGAAAGACTTTAAGAAATTACACTGGAGCCAGAGATACATTCCAGCCCCTGACAAAATCTTGTTAAGCTCTAAACCTTTCCACAGGCTGGCAATAACCACATTTCAATTGTGGCAAGACAGAGCGCTGCATTTAAAGATAAAGTCTCCACAAGGCTTTTAGTATTCTGTTTCCATCATGTTGAATACTCTAATGAAAAAGTAGGTCAATGTTTCTCATTAAAAATATTTAAATGCTACACTACCTAAAGCTCATTGAAATATCCATCGCCCACCATGACAGAAATCTGTAGGAGCACATTTCCATCAAATATCTACCTGTCATTACAGTTACTGACCTAAGACCTGTATGAAAGCTCTCATGGTTACATGTCTCTGACCCTAGAATACCTACATGCATTAGGAGACAGAATTCACAAATAAGACTAAACTAACTTCCCCCTCCCCTAATGAAAAACACATGCTTCACCAAGTACCAGCATCCCACAACACCGGAGCTGCTGCTGAGCTTCCTCTCATTACATTCAGGGGTGTGTCCCCCTCCTCCAAGGGTGGTGTTTTTCTTCCCAAATAAATCATGCTCTTCATAATAAGATATTTCATTTATAAGGATGTTTGAATTTCCAAATCTGGGCTCCAACCAGCTTTCATCGCAGTCATGAGAGAAAGAAAAAACTCCTCTGTTCTCACCTGGCAGGACCCCTATGAAAACCACAGCTTTTTTTCATACACAGAGGATTGAGCTCCTTGGGGTCAATCATTCTCACCGACAGACATTTTATCCATTTTATAGAAAGCTGTGAAGCGTTAGCAATCAGGCCCAGTAAAATGTAACCAGTCTGAATGACAGCTGTACTAGTCTTATTCCTAGACAGAGGGTAACTTTTTGATAGGGGGCATGGGAAAACTACAGTTTATCCGAAGCTGACAGCATTAGTTGTGCACAAACTCCACTTACAGGTGTTCTGCTGAATCTACATCCAGGTGCTTCTCTTTTCCATTGGGTATACTGTGGTCAATGACTATCGTTTCAGTGTTGGCTAAACAAAATCCATTTGATCTCATGATTTCTGTCAGGAGAAGAAAGAAAACAAGATGAAAAGCCAAAAAAAACCCCAACTGGAAAACAACTGCGTATTATATGCAATAGATATGGTTATAAACCGAGATGTGTGCATGATATTGAAAATCTGCATGTGAAAGCAGGAATTAAGAAGCTATGAAACCAGCTCTTACATCTACAAACTGTCAGTGCTTAAGTAATTTTATTAATGTAATCAGTTCATGACACAGAGCATTTGAAGCAAGGCCCAGTTTCAGCCCTGTTATTGACAGTGGTGAAATTTCCATCATCTGTAGCAGAAATGGCAGCCCATTCATATACCGCAATCTACCACTACCAAAACATTTTCTAGACAGTCCTAAGCTTAAGCCAGTTAAGCAAAAATCAAGAAGACAGGAAAAAGGAAATAAAAAGTGACTTCCAAGTTAATTCAACCACTGTCTTTAAGTCATATAAAGCAATACCATCTTCTGCACTGCTTTCAACTCTGATTATTTGTTTCTCAGTGTGTAAGAAGCCTCCAATCCAGAATAGCTAAAATTTACACCTAATTCCACTGATTTACTACCATGAGGAGAATTTACAATTAAAGCATAGTATTTGAGGTGAATGAGAAGTTAATCCACATTTGTGCTACACAGAAAGGCAAACTAGGCAAGCCACAAGGATTTCTTTCAGTCACACAGTCCTTGATAAAGCTAGGGCCACTGCAAAATGAACACATATCTCTATATAAATCAGCACTGACATAATCTGCCTCAGGGCCCGAGGACCCTGTGTTACAGCCTTGCATTACCAGTACAAACAAAAGGAAATTAATCTGTGGCAGAAAATACGGTAGGCACAAAACTTACATACAGGGGGACTTCAGACAAATTTCAACTATACATCCAGTTCAAGAAATGAGCAGGAGATGAGACAGAAGAAAGAAAGGAGGTAGTTTTTTGAAGCGTACGTTTATAAGTTCCTATATTGAGTAATAACAGAACTCACTTCCATATTTTTCTTGAGAAAGTAATCTCTGACTTCCAGTCTGTATTTTACTGCGACTCACTTTAGCAGAATACATTTGGAGTGATAAACACACTGAATCCCAGCAGAAGCACACTTCACTCATGATCTTAAACCAACAGCGTACTGTAGAAGAAGATTTATGCCATAAATTCAAATTCAGCTTTCATCTAAGAGGGCGGACCTTTCTCTCTTCCCTATCACCTACAACTCTGAACGGGACCCTGTGAGGGACAGTTTGTTTTTTTCCAGAGAATACAAAACACTTTTGCCTGCTTTTCTAAGTCTGCAAGCCATGTAGAAATCTGCACTATGACTAACAAGAATTTCCTAGTGTCCTTGACATGACCTAAGAGTTACAGCATTTCATTGCCGTGTGAACTGCTTTAGACGTTAACATTTACTGCCATCTACTGACAATGCTGCCAGACACCAAAACCATTTCTCATGTGCAACATTCAGACGAGGCAAATATCAATTATCATCAAATATCCGCCTATGTTTTTAAATTCTTTGCAGCAATCACTTAAACGATAAAACTAATTACCACAAGATGCTTTTGGATAGCTGCATAGGTAGGAAAATCTTCCTCCAATTAATTAGGCATGACTTATCTCTACCAAAATTAATTTAGAATTAAAAAAAACCCCATGCTGTATTCAGCTAATGTGGCTTCCACAGCTCCTCTATCTACAGGCTGGCAGGAGGGTTTCCTTTGCTGCTAGCCTCTGTCCATCAGCTCGGCACCCTCGCTCTGAATTTAGGTTCATCTTGACTATCTTCTCTGTTTACCCACCACTTGACATGCACACACAGAGTATGTACCCCTAAGGGGGTACGCAACCTCACAAATATTATATGAAACCCTTCCAAACAGCAAAAACCCCCAGGCCAGAAACACTGCTGTTTCTAACCAGTGAAATTGCAAATACATTTATTCTTGATATTTGTCTGTTCACAAAAAGAACACAGTATCACTAACAACAGCCACCCTTTGAAGCATTTTTACAGTATACCGTTTGGGGATCCTTCATTTCATAACGGGCAGGTGCTAGGACCCACTCTGCAGCTCTGGTCTCACAGAGTAGCAACATATTTCAGGCATAACCAGTGAAAATCCTTCTCAAGGGTCAGTGCTGAGAACACATACTGGCATTCACTAGTAAAGCTTGTAACCATGTTCCGTCTTTGGAAGATGACCCATGTCAGGAACATGCACATGAGGAATTTTACCTGTTTCCACATCGACTCAAGACATCATCCAAACTTCCTTAGCCACAGATGGGGAGTAAGACACGCATGTTGGCTCCTCACTCGTGCTCCCAGGAAGCATGACTCCACTTTACAGTACAGCCCTGGGGGCTCTTTACAATCCCTATGCTGTACTGCAGCCTGGGCTCCAGGGGCCCTACAAGAAGGCACCAGCCCCATCCCAGAGATGAGCTTGCAAAACCACACTTCTCACTGAAGCTCTGTATCACACAGTACACTTCTAAAGAGTTATTGGTGAGCTCACAAACCATATACCATTTAATTAAAAGATTATCTAACAGAAGACTAGTTAGCTTAGAACCAGAGCTCAGGATCAACTACAAAAAATCTACCCTGTGTATAAGAATGATCCTTAAGACACACACTTTACACCTTTAGCATGTTGACAGGCTGACTGGCCATTAACTGATATACTGCTAGTACCTCAGAAAACTGATACCAGTTCACACTAAAAACTTTAAACACTTTGGAGGACTATGTAGTATTTCACTTTTATTTCACTCTCTGAAATTTCTGGCAGCACAAAACCAGCAGTTGCCTAGGCTCACATAAACATTTCAGTATAGAAATACAAAACCAGGCATACCAAAAGTCTGCAAACCTTTTAACAACAGTCAGCAGTGGCAGATGCAGAGGGGAAAGGCTGAAAGAATAGGCAAGGATAGATTATTAATACTGCTCTCCATTTTCCCCACTAGCAATGTGTGGTTTAGAAACTTCCTATCTCCACTCAGTGGAGGTCTCAATGTACTTTTCCTCCACTTGGCTTGTCTTAATTCCCTTCTGAAGTCATTTATGCTTTCAGTTCCACAATATCCCATGACAATGACTTCCACTCCTTAACTGTGCTCTGTATGGATGCAAAACAGTATTATAATCTTTCTTTTGCTTATTTAAAGCCTGTTGTCTGTCAACGTTTTTGGATAACCTATAGTTCTTGTTTCACGAGAAGTACAGGGTAATTGACCTCCTTCTATTCACAGCTAAGTAGACCTCCATCATAGCCCCACTCTGTCATCTCTTCTCAATGTTGAAGTGTGCTTCTTTATTTAGCCTTTTTCTTTGAGAAGCTGTTCAATGACTTGAATCCTTGTTCTTTATTTGTATGCTTTTAAATTCTATTATATCCTTTCCGAGATGGAGAGACCAGATTGTGCACATTGTACTCAAGATGGGGTGGTGCTCCTTTCTTCTGTTCCCCCCTTCTTTCTTAATAACATTTAATATTGTCGCTGCTGGTTTTGTGCATTGTTTGGCATTGAGCTTACATTTTCACAGAACTGTATCAATAGCTTCAAAATCTGCTTCCTAAGTGGTAGTAGTACTATCATATGTGACAATAGTGAGGACTGCATTTTCCTCACATCTACTTGTCTGCATTTATCAGCCTTCAATTTCACCTGCCACTTTACTACTTGAAAGCATCTTGCATATAAATGTTCTGTATTATAAAGCAGACTATGAAGAGCTACCGTTTGAATTGATGATAGAGAAAGAATAAAGGGAACAGCAAATAAAGTAACTTTCATTTTGTAATTCTTGTGTCACATGTAGGAAGCTAACAACTCTTACCTGATATTTTAACTGGACTTTGAAAGCTTGGCTGAATTTTATGGACATTGTCATTTTTTAGAACTTGGTCCAAAGGAGATCTCTCAAAGAATGTGAGGACAACTTCAGATCGTGAATACTTAAAAAAAGAAAAAGAAACAGACATCCATTTTTACCAGCACTTTGTTTTGTCCTTCTTCTCCCTTTCCACCCCTTTGTAATACAACAGAAAGCAAGCAACAGCCTGGAGACATCATTATACAGTTCTGGCACTCAGCGCTCCTCCAAGATACTCAATAAATTGCTGCTTCTTCTAGAGTCTGGCAAAGCCCATCACTTTCTAATCTGCATGAGAGTGCGTGTCACCATCAAGGAGGAGTCAAGCTGGGCTAAATGGAACTTGGCTTACTCACCTTCCAGGGCATGTTTATTATAGTCTTCAGAAGCTTTTCCACTTCATTAAGTCTGGCTTCTATATCATGGGCTTCTTTTATTGTAATGAGCCCTAGAAACAAAGTAAACAGATCATGAGTATAGACAAAAGCACACTTTCATGTGCACACACACTTCAGCAGCCAGAAGCAGCCACTCGAGAAGCTGTGGAATGACCTCAGATATCATGCTTCCCAGAAATGTCTTAACCCACACTGACGATAAAGCATGTACCCCGAACTGAGGTGGGTGTAGTTACAAGCAGAGTTGCAAGCCTGACACAAATTCAGCTGTTTATGATCATATTTAGGAGTTGCAAGACGAGCAGAAGTAGAACCACCTACTCCCTCACCCACAATTTCACTACACAGCATTCCCAGCAGTGATAATCAAACAGCCTGTTTTCTGCTTCCAAGAACCATGATTCATCCTTTTTTCTGTCAATAAAAAGCAAAAGAAAACCCAAGAAAACCAAAAAGCACAACCCACAGATAAGAGGAAAAGACTAAACACAAGCTAAACAAAAGCCTTTGAGGCCAGTCTTGTATTTCTCTGAATATAAGCCCCAGTGAGCGGCCCAAGGAAGATTTCTCAGAATCATGTTCTTCCTTTTGGGAGTTTTTTTAATCATTGAATAATCATGATGCTGCAGAAGGGATTAAAATGGAAATTTAGCAGTCTGGTGCCCAGAACGATGCATTACAATGCTTCTAATTTCAAATTGTTTAATATGGGGATCTTCAACTATAATACCATATTTTGTATGTATAACCTGCAGGACATCTGTAACTTCCCTCTCCTCTAGCAGACTCAGGGAAATATAGCACAGGTTATATGTACATACAGGGAGTATGGGGAAAAGTCAACCCCAAAATATTGCATCCCTCTAGCAGCCCTTTTATTTCTGATCTCTGTAACCTCTATTTTTTTCTAACCTAATCATCATTTTACCTCTACATTTGTGCAGCTTTTCCAAGAAACAGAATACAGACATGAAATGAAATACCTAAGAGACTATTACATTTAACAAGCTTCACTGGTTAAAAAAAAACCCAAAACCAAAACCAACAAAAAAACCCAAACCAAAACAAACAAAAAGCTGAAGGAGAAATAGACCAAATAAACCAAAACCATCTAAATAAAAATCGAAACTAAAAATCTGCAAACAGTCTGTGAGAAACCACTTCAATATACTAAAATTGCACGGTGCTAAAGTAAGCATCTCTCCATCTCCCTATTCAAAAGGCTGACATACAGCAAGACCTGTCAAACATGTACGGTGTGGGGAAAACATCCACAAAATGTTTCAGTCTGCATCAATCCTTGTTGTTTGTTACCTAAGAGATACAATCCCATACAAACTTTCCAGACATAAGTGAGACTTTAAAGTTGTCAGCTTTACTTAAATTACAGCTCTAAATAAAACAGATTACCTTTGGAGCAACCAGGTTTACCTGATGGTTGTCCCACAAAAGTAGCCTGGTTGCATATGCTTTTCTATTGCCCGACAGTCCCTCACTTTGCCTGGTTTTGTCAGCATCACTACCCCTCACCCCAGTACAGCTCACTCCCTCTTCTGACAGGGGAGCGGAGCATACCAGCAGGCATAGAAGGAAGGCAACCATGTACCCTGCTTTGACAAGTGTACACTACAGTCAGGTAGCTCTGCATGGTAATTCTCTGAAAGGCTGTAAACATGAATTAACTCATCTGCATGGGTCCACAGACAGCGTATGAGCTGGCTTGTGCTTGACGTTACAGACCTGAATTGCAGACCAGCACCCTTCATCTTCCTAACTACTGGGTGTGAGCAGGCCTGGGTGGATATGCTTCACCCCTCCACAGATATGTTCCCATCCCACATCTGAATGAAGTTCAAACCTTTCAAAAAAACAGGGTTTTCATCTTCCCTATAAAAAAGCTGCCAACAGCCTCACGGCTCAGACACCTACCTGTGGTGTTAGAAACACTCTGTCGCCCTGCCACAGCCCACATCACAGAAAACTAAGCCAGCCACCATGGTGCCGGCTACCATGGGATGCCTCCATTTCTCCTGCCGGTCATGCTCCAGTCTACACAAATACAGACACAGTCAGAGCAGAGACTGCCCGACTGCAGCTACCGCCTTGCAGGCAAACTCCTCATCAGGGTGACCTACCAGGGATTCAGCTACTCTCTCTCAAATCCACCCTCAACCTCAGACCCTGTCCCAAATAAGCATTTACTGTTGCAACTAGTATTACACCAGGAAAAGGGATACGTTTAAACAAATGAAGATATTCAGATTGGGGAGGGGGGTGGGAGGGGACAGAAAAAACCACCACCAACACTGAGCATTCATCATGTGAGGAAAACTAGCCACGCAGTTGGGATTTTCTCTCATTAGTGATCAGGGAAAGCATCTGCAGCTTCACCTGGCCTTTTTATGCTTCAGCAAGAGAAGTCAGACGAGGCCGTCAGCCTGTTGCACTGTCACAGATCACCCAGTGGGAGGTTTTACAGCTTCTTGCATTTACCAGGAGTTTCCAGCTCTGGTATACTCCTCCTTTCAGCTCTTGGAAAGGCACCAGCCATACAAACCCACACTCCAATATGGATACTGGCACAGATGACTGGTAACATCTGATATAATAAAAACTGCTTCTTTCTGAAGCTTTTAGTAATATCAAAACCAAAAGGCAGACAGCGTAGGAAGGAGAGTAAGTGATACATCTGCCTGGACAGTTTCCTATATTCTTAATGGTTACAGATGCACAGCTTTGGGGTGTAAAGCTGCTGACCATACATGAATTCCCTGTACAGGGAATTCAGTTTGGCTCTGTTAAAGCCTTCCTTTTCATATGTCTATAGTATAAATACACAAAAACCACTTGACTGGCTATATATATATATATCTCGAACCCTGCAATTTCTTCTGTAATAGACACAAAGTTTGTAAGGCCCTCATTTATCTTAATGCTACGAGTCTCTGTTTTTAAGAGTTAACAGATGCCCTTGTGGTTTTCAGTTAGTCGTAGCCTGTGATCCCACAACGTGAGGGATTGCATACAATGTGAGAGCCAGGCTAACTGGAGCAAGGCTCTGCCTGCCCAAACTGCCAGGAAAAGGGGCCCCTGGTCCCTCCTTTTGCTGCCTTTCAGGGCTTGCTAACTGGCTGCTGCCATCAACCACAGCACATACATGCATGAGGAACACTGTGGTTTCTCCAGCTGAAGTCTCCGGTGGCAACACTGGTTTAAGGTGCTCTCACCCCCCCCCCCCCCCGAAACTCATTTCCTCTCCCACACCACAACACAGGGCTGCCTCTGCTTTGCCAGCACAATTAGGTGAGTAGCGGGGAATACCTCGAACTGCTCGAACCGCTCTTGTCAGAGGCAAGAAAAGGAAGGGAAACCCCAGCCTTCGCAGAAGCAGTAAAGGACTGCAGGCTAGGATGACCCATTCAAGCTCCTTTCTCACCCAGGCATTATACTGAGTTTGAACAGGAATAGGGACTCATGTAAAGAAGGGTTACAGAACTACACCCAAGATTTCCATCTCTATTCTTCACTTTGTGGCGGTTTCTTTCCTGCCTGTCTTCTTTTTTTTCCTGTTCAGAAACTCTGATGAGGCAGAGAGAAAGAAAAAAAAAAACACCTAGAGATTGGTGTAGGATCTCCAGACACTGGAAATGCCTGAACAGACACAGGCATATGCCAGCTGACTCTGCAGGCAGAGCTCAGCATCTCCACCATTCATTAACCCCGACACAAATGCACCACAAGCTGGATGCATCTGGAGCACACAGGACTCACTGGCCACGTATGCAGCATCCGTGCAGCAGCTACAACATGTCCTAAGGCTGTTGCCTCTGCCCACGGAACACAATTACATGCTTATCTTTCCATCTGGGGCTTTTAGACCCCAAGAACCCTAATTCAGTTTGCTATAAAATAAAAATTAAGACACCAGTAAAGCAACCAGTAGCTTGGAACCAGTTGTGCTTTATTCCACTTGTTCAGTCATGCAACAGAGCTGAGCTCAGAGCTGGGAAATCTCTTAGTGAAGTCATGGTGAAAGGCTGTTCTCATGCCTTTTCCTCTGCCCTGGCCCCTGTCTGACTGCTAATGGAAAACATGAGCAAACTCCTCCCAGGAAAACTTTGCTCTCTGTCTTGTTACCCATACTGTGCTTGGACAATTAATTATCATTTCAAGTAATTCAAATGCTATAAAGATCTATGTTTATAGGGCTTGAGGTAAACTGGAGTCCCACCGGCTTCTTTTTTACCACAAACCCCATTGCCAAATACCACAAACTTAAGGTTTCTTCACCCCATGCACAAGGGAGCCCACACGCTGGGCAGTGGGAGGGACAATCCCAGCACACCACTTAACCCAGGGTGGCACTCACCTGTACCTGGGATATTTGCTTTTATCGAGGTTCTGCCATGCACACAACCCCTGTTGTCAGTGACCTCATTCAATCCCTCTGACATCTTCTCTGCCCCTTTCCAGACCAGGAGCCCCAGGTAGAGTCCTTAAGACTGGGTGAAAAGGATTTGCCCGCAATCTGAGACCAAGCACACATAGCAACTTTATGCATAGCAACACATTTCTGGAAAAACACAGCACAAACAGCACCAGAGGCCTGCAGCATCCTTCCTGCTCTGGGACCCCAGTGCCGGAGCAGCTGCCGGAGGCTGAAAGAGCAGTCCAGCAGCTGAGAACCTGGCACGCTGGCTCATGGCGTGGGAGAGGGCCCAGAGCTGCAAACGAGCAGGAAACGAGCTCAGCAGAGGAGGACAGCGAACTGGGAGCCAATTCCTGATGTCAACACACAAGCCTTGGTAGGCCTGTCCTACTACTGCCACGTGAGCCACCAAATCTACAACTAATGACATTCTGACAACCACAGATAACACACTGCATGCTTCTACCAAACAAATCAGGACAGGAATCACAACATGTGCTCCATGGCTCGTAATGAAACCACAGTGCAGTCCTGATGGTCAGTGTCCACAATGAGCACTTTGTCTCAACAATCCTCTAGTGCCTTCCAGGGAAGAGTAAGTTCACGCCTAAGTCAAGTATGTCTCATATGCCATCTCTCAATGATGACATATGGAAGTCTGTTTTTTTTTGAGATGTGTTGCTATGTA